GGAGATGGTGCAATTCAAATCAATGTCAATTTCATACTAGTACATATAAATAAATAAGTGTGGGTGTTAATGTTAATACTTGGTCTTGAGAATAAACATATCAATTTGCATAAACTTTTAAAATGAAGCTATAATGAAAAAAAATGTCTGTACTTCATACCTCAGAATAACAGTGTGTGTTGTAACTAAGCAGACAACATATTTCCTCTTTTCACTTTTAACAGATTTATGAGTTAGTTGCGTGTGGCCACCTCATAATTGCCAACTGGCGTATTTATTCAACAGAAATGTTAACACATTTAGGTTACTTCCCCTTGTACAGTTACATTACGAGATAACAACTGTGTATAATTTTAATGTGTAGTAAATGTAGCTTTTTGCAATTAATAAATCATTCGTATATTGAAATAAAAAAGTAACGTTAACTTTATTTATATTATTCAGCGGAAGTACACGGGTAGTATGTTAACATGTCTCATGCCGATGATGGCGGGAAAATTTTAATTATTTTTATGAATGAATAGTAAAATCAGATTTAAAAGCATGAGTGATATATAAAAGCATTGGACTGCTTACAGTTGGCATTCATGGGCTGATGATATCTATCAACGATGTGCTAAAATTCACAATTATTATCCGTATTGTATGTGCAGAGGTTATTTATCAACACTCTGCTGTATTGTGTGGGCAGTAGTTACGTCTCAACGTTGTGCCAAAATTAGTGATCGTTTTCCGTATTGTGTGTACAGTAGTTACGTCTCAACGCTGTGCTAAAGTTAGTCACCGTTTTCCGTATTGTGTGGGCAGTAGTTACGTCTCAACACTGTGCTAATGTAGTCATCGTTTTCTGTATTGTGAGGACAGTAGTTACATCTCAACGCTGTGCTAAAGTTAGTCACCGTTTTCTGTATTGTGTGGGCAGTTGTTATGTCTCAACGCTGTGCCAAAGTTAGTCACCGTTTTCTGTATTGTGTGGACAGTAGTTACGTCTCAACGCTGTGCTAAAGTTAGTCACAGTTTTCCGTAATGTATTTACAGCACTTACGTCTCAACCCTGTGCCAAAGTTAGTCACTGTTTTCCGTATTGTGTGTACAGTAGTTACGTCACAACGCTGTGCTAAAGTTAGTAATCGTTTTCTGTATTGTGTGTACAGTTGTTACATCTCAACGCTTTACTAAAGTTAGTAATCGTTTTCCGTATTGTGTGTACAGTAGTTACGTCACAACGCTGTGCTAAAGTTAGTCACCGTTTTCCGTATTGTGTGTACAGTAGTTACGTCACAACGCTGTGCTAAAGTTAGTAATCGTTTTCTGTATTGTGTGTACAGTTGTTACATCTCAACGCTTTACTAAAGTTAGTCACTGTTTTCCGTATTGTGTGTACAGTAGTTACGTCTCAACACTGCGCCAAAGTTAGTCACCGTTTTCTGTATTGTGTGTACAGTAGTTACGTCACAACGCTGTGCCAAAGTTAGTCACTGTTTTCCGTATTGTGTGTACAGTAGTTACGTCTCAACGCTGTGCCAAAGTTAGTCACTGTTTTCCGTTTTGTGTTGGCAGTAGTTACGTCTCAACACTGTGCTAAAGTTAGTCACCGTTTTCCGTTTTGTGTGGGCAGTTGTTACGTCTCAACGCTGTGCTAAAGTTAGTCACAGTTTTCCGTAATGTATTTACAGCACTTACGTCTCAACGCTGTGCCAAAGTTAGTCACTGTTTTCCGTATTGTGTGTACAGTAGTTACGTCACAACGCTGTGCTAAAGTTAGTAATCGTTTTCTGTATTGTGTGTACAGTTGTTACATCTCAACGCTTTACTAAAGTTAGTAATCGTTTTCCGTATTGTGTGTACAGTAGTTACGTCACAACGCTGTGCTAAAGTTAGTCACCGTTTTCCGTATTGTGTGTACAGTAGTTACGTCACAACGCTGTGCTAAAGTTAGTAATCGTTTTCTGTATTGTGTGTACAGTTGTTACATCTCAACGCTTTACTAAAGTTAGTCACTGTTTTCCGTATTGTGTGTACAGTAGTTACGTCTCAACACTGCGCCAAAGTTAGTCACCGTTTTCTGTATTGTGTGTACAGTAGTTACGTCACAACGCTGTGCCAAAGTTAGTCACTGTTTTCCGTATTGTGTGTACAGTAGTTACGTTTTCTCAACGCTGTGCCAAAGTTAGTCACTGTTTTCCGTTTTGTGTTGGCAGTAGTTACGTCTCAACACTGTGCTAAAGTTAGTCACCGTTTTCCGTTTTGTGTGGGCAGTTGTTACGTCTCAACGCTGTGCTAAAGTTAGTCACCGTTTTCCGTTTTGTGTGGGCAGTAGTTACGTCTCAACGCTGTGCCAAAGTTAGTCACCGTTTTCCGTTTTGTGTTGGCAGTAGTTACGTCTCAACACTGTGCTAAAGTTAGTCACCGTTTTCCGTTTTGTGTGGGCAGTAGTTACGTCTCAACGCTGTGCTAAAGTTAGTCACCGTTTTCCGTTTTGTGTGGGCAGTAGTTACGTCTCAACGCTGTGCCAAAGTTAGTCACCGTTATCCGTATTGTATGTACAGCTGTTACGTCTCAACGCTGTGCTAAAGTTAGTCATTGTTTTCTGTATTGTGTGTACAGCTGTTACGTCTCAACACTGTGCTAAAGTTAGTCACCGTTTTCCGTATTGTGTGTACAGTAGTTACGTCTCAACGCTGTGCTAAAGTTAGTCACCGTTTTCCGTATTGTGTGGGCAGTAGTTACGTCTCAACGCTGTGCTAAAGTTAGTCACCGTTTTCCGTATTGTGTGGGCAGTAGTTACGTCTCAACGCTGTGCCAAAGTTAGTCACCGTTTTCCGTTTTGTGTGGGCATTAGTTACGTCTCAACTTTGTGCTAAAGTTAGTCACCGTTTTCCGTATTGTGTGGGCAGTCGTTACGTCTCAACGCTGTGCCAAAGTTAGTCACCGTTTTCCGTATTGTATGTACAGCTGTTATCTCTCAACGCTGTGCTAAAGTTAGTCATTGTTTTCTGTATTGTGTGTACAGTTGTTACGTCTCAACGCTGTGCTAAAATTAGTCACCGTTTTACGTATTGTTTGTACAGTAGTTACGTCTCAACGCTGTGCCAAAGTTAGTCATTGTTTTCTGTATTGTGAGGGCAGTAGGTAGGTCTCAACGCTGTGCCAAAGTTAGTCACCGTTTTCCTTATGGTGTAGTCAGTAGTTAAGTATCGATTCCCGATGTTTGTCTCTGTTACAATGACTCGCGATACATGAAGATAGAGTCATGGAGACGGGAAACTTATGACCATTTTTACTCATGTTTTCAGTATTGTTACTTCAGTTTAACATGTTGTTTTCCTAGTGTTTTGACACTGTCACTTATCAACAATTTCTTATGTTTGCTGTTTTAATTCTAGGAACAAAGCAATGTACAAGATGAACGTCCACCATGCAGTTTCCCTTGTTCTCCTCTTCATGCATGTTTGCACATGCCAAGACTTTGATGCAGATGAACTGAGTAACCGTTTACATGATCTGGCTAACGAAGGAATGGGAGTGGCGGAATTACAGGTACTAATATCACCTTCAAGTTAGTGACACAGAAAATGTTATAAACTACGTCACACCGTCTCACAGAAATGTTTCTTTTGAAGATTTAATTAATTCTTTGCTATTTTTACCTAGTCCAGAGTTGAAGCTCAAAACAATTAGAATAGTTTCATTAGTTTTAGATATAACAACCATTTATAGAACGCAGGAATATAGCTGGAACTCCGGACTAACCTGATAAGTGATAATGGTGATAGTAGTAATGTCCTGATCACAACGAAAAATTAAAACAAATTGGCTGCGTGTGACCGTAAAACAAAAGAACAAATAATTGGAGCATACGGTGAGAAATCTTGTTTTTGAAACTTGTTATACATTTTATATCTTATCCTGGATAGGTTTTGTGGAGGTTTAAAATCAGTCGGAGAAATAGTTCTCATTTCCATGGAAACATTAAAAACATCTATGAGAATTATAAGTTTCTTAAGGAAGCAAGTAAACAAACTTTTAAATGTTGATGTACTTTAAACTTTGATAAAAAATATTTAATCTTCTTGAATTGTCATATTTAATTCCGTTATCAATTGAATGGATAATGTATAAATGAATGTGTTCTATCTGCAGGCACATTATGACAGTCTGAGCTACACCAGGAGTAACGTTGACGGAGATTCCCTCGTTAATGAGGTAAGCTAACAATTTCTTTGCATATTTGGACACAGTCTCAGCTACACACATTAACAAAATAAGATTTCTAGAGCAACGTACACACACATAACACAATGGCAAACACGCTGCTTAAACAACAACCCAAGATTTTTAGTTAAACACATTGGCATGTCATAGAAATTGTACAAAAGACGGGTTAATAGTAACTTTCAGTGCAAACTTAATTTCAGATACAGTTGAGATAAATGCTGAATTCAACTGCCAACACATTCAAAACTCACCCATTGCGAATCAACGCACGTTTTGCTCAGCAGCTAAATTCACACAATCAAGTATTACAACAAAGGAACACAATTTCTGGTAAGACGACCAAATAATGCTCAAAATAGGTACATACACATTTAGACGTTAGCTACATAAAAACTTTTTAACCATATACACAACTTTCTTTAATATCGCCATGTTGAAATTCGATGGTCCTGTAGGGTGTTACTTGAACTCACTTATCTCTAGCTTGATATTCGCTCGGTCAACCTTCCCTGGGAATCATATGATGTACACAGTAAAGAGGAGAAGAAAAACATACACGTGAGATTCTGATACTATATTGGTACATTTTGTTGATGGAGCCGAGGAGTGTCACGTATCCTGAAAAAAATACTTTAAAACTGTCATGTGTTTACTTGGTATTTTTGTTTCAGCTTTCAATAGAGATTGGTGAAAAGTTTAATTATCTGAAGGAAGCTGCCACAGATCTTAAGATATCAGTGGAAGATAACTACGGGTTCTTCACAACATCCCGGCCACTAGACATGGCCAACTGTTGCAACGTATCTGGTACACCCAACCTCAAATTTCAAGCAAATGTAAAGTTGATGTATTTTTCTGTCGAATGCTAAATAAAGGCTAAGGTAAAATGTATTCAATATGAAAATGAAAGAGAAAAGAATTCAAGCAAATGTGAAGTTAACGTATATTTTTCTTTCCAATGGTAATACTGCCTCGAATAAAAAGTTTAATATGAAAACGAAAGAAAAGGATTGCCAGAAATGCAACTCTGACGATGTTCAATTAAATGTCAAGTTAATTATTATTTTCAAACAAATGTCAATGTTTTTTTCTTTTTAATGTTTCTATAACTTACAGTGGAAACGACGGCTTGTATTATGACTTGACTTGGTCAATGATTATGATCCGGTAATGTAACTCCGATTTGAGCTATTTCTCATATCCCCCTCTGCCTTAAATTCTTAATTTTCTTAAATCTCCATAGAATACATTTGTCTGCTTTCAGGTTTCTTTTTCCGGTGGTTGTTGGACGGTATCACCAAAATCTCCACAGACGAAAAAGTTTGCGAATGATGCCGTTGTGCAAACGATGCGTGACAATTTTAATGCAAATCCAAGGCTTTTGTGGCAGTACTTCGGGGGTGAAGACGGCACTTCCGTTCTCTATCCACAAGCTAAAGTGTCCCCCATACCTACATTATGTAATTCCTTCGATCCCCGATTTCGGTAAGTGTTATTGATGTATTTATTGGAATTGTGGGATAAATGTGTTCGGATACTAAATGTCTGTAAAAACACGTAATGTCGTGGTGCTCGAAATCCATGTTTTTTTTCCCCAAACTTAAATAATACATCTAGACGACTTAAGTTCTTGATATGGATAAATAGAATTACAAAAGTATGTTTATACTACAAATTCATTAATTTAAAATGCTCAATAGCTGATTTTTTCATACATTTGAATTCGTTGATGAAAAGTACCTACGAAATCATTGAAAATAAGTGTCGTCGGCAAGCATTGTCCCTGTACAAGATAATAACTGTTTACTAGATATTATTTCTACACAGAAGTATCGATGTTTCAGTTAAAAATAGAAAAGAAAATACCGAAATGCCAATAGAATATATATGTCTAAACTCAATTTGAAAAAAGAAGAAGAAAATACATGGAAATTTTCGACATAAGATAATAAGACTAAGTGTTCTAGAAGAATGAGCGTCTTCTGAATCACCGACGGGACCCGCCATGTTAATTATTATCTGTAATGCCAAGTTATCAGGTAGAACAAGGTAAACACCGACGGACCCGCCATGTTAATCATTATCTGTAATGCCAAGTTATCAGGTAGAACAAGGACCCGCCATGTTAATCATTATCTGTAATGCCAAGTTATCAGGTAGAACAAGGTAAACACCGACGGACCCGCCATGTTAATCATTATCTGTAATGCCAAGTTATCAGGTAGAACAAGGTAAACACCGACGGACCCGCCGTGTTAATCATTATCTGTAATGCCAAGTTATCAGGTAGAACAAGGTAAACACCGACGGACCCGCCATGTTAATCATTATCTGTAATGCCACGTTATCAGGTAGAACAAGGTAAACACCGACGGACCCGCCGTGTTAATCATTATCTGTAATGTCATATTATCAGGTAGAACAAGGTAAACACCGACGGACCCGCCATGTTAATCATTATCTGTAATGTCATATTATCAGGTAGAACAAGGTAAACACCAACAGAAACACCAGGCATACTATCGTGCATGAAACATGTTCTGCTTTGTTTCGCACATGTACATATTTGATTTCTCGTTTCTTCCTTGAAGTAGAGCTTTTGGAGTAAGATGTTAAGAATGTCGTTATTGTATAGTGTTGTCCGTAAGTACTGTATATGAATTTTCAAATATTGATGTGTGGGTGGATTCAAACGCAATAAACGTAATAAAACTACATATTTGTAAATAATATCACTGTGTAATTGTTGTATGAATGTAGTTGTTGTTTAATTTAAGGCCGTACTATGCCGCTGCAGCTACACCTATAGCGAAAGATGTTGTCGTGTTGGTAGACACATCTACCTCAATGCATACTCCAGATAACACTGACCGTACCCGTCTCAAGCTAGCCAAGGAGGTGGCCACAATAGCCCTTCAGACACTGAATCCTAACGACAGGGTAGGCATTCATAGTGGTGATATATCTGTAATATAAAATCGGAAGTGACAGTTATAAAACTCACGTGTGGGGGGGGGATACTTGCATTTTTTAGTATAATTTGTTTATTTTCTTTACGAAATAGTTCAAAGTTCAATCTTGGTTGGACATATTAGTACATGCTAACAGTTTGATGAGATGCACATACTCACCTCGGCTGACACTCAGGGGCATATGGGTGGACTCAAAATGGGTCACATTGACTGTTTTATTGTTCAGGAATGGAAGATTTTACATAGAAAATTAAATTTTTGAGTGTAATTTATTAGGTTAGAAACCTTAGCATGGAACAGCAGTTTATGTTACGTATATTCTACATTTACATTATGTGTACATAATATGTTTTTTGGGGACTTTTTGTATGTTATGTATCATATGATAACAATAGACATTGTAAAATTAAACAAAAATATCTCCTTGTACTAAGCTCTTTATGTTCCAATCTTAACAGTGCATTCTAATTATAACTTTGATTCGAAATGTCTCGCATTTTCAGATGGCAGTTGTGTCTTTCAACCCGGAGACACCTAAACCAACTTCCGGCTGTTATGAGAATCAGCTCTCACAGTATACACCCGAGAACGAAAGATTCTTATCATCATTTATAGGTCACTTGGATGTCAATAGCGAGTCTGACGTAACAGTGGGCCTAGAAGCGGCCTTCCACTATTTCGGAAATTCATCAATGCCAACAGGAGATGAAAAACGATGTAAGAGTTTTAAAAAAGCAATCGCTGCAGTAATAGCATACTCCATACTTAATTTTCCCTTTTAAGCATTTCAGATCAGTTCATTTGAAACACAGGATTTTCTTTTAGTGGAGCGAGGTGTGAAATGTGTTTATTAGTCAAGAACACAGAAGTGCGAATATACATGCCTGAAGAACGTAGAAAAGACACACAATTGAAAATAGGACCTTTTAATAACACTTCAGTGTAAAATACATCATAAAACCCCATGAATTAAACAACATCATACAGCTGTTTCGTCCTTCTAGGATTCCTCAGTGATGCTAAGGGTCTAAAGTGTGAAACCTAGGAGGTGAAAAAAATCCAAAGCGATCTCCGGAAAATTCAAAATCTAGAAGGGGAGATAACTAGCTCCATAATTCAATAAAAAAACCCGTAATTTTTTTCGTATATACCTAATAATTTAAGAACATCAAGTAAACAGAAAAAACATTACCGTCAGGTACAAATAATTCTCCCAACTCATAACGGCCTCTTTGTAAAGCTATTATTGACCCGTGTTTAGTAAATATGTAAAATTAAAATCACGAGTTTTGAATACGCTATTATTTTGTGCCTCATCAGATTAAGTGAATTCACAATTTTCAAATTTGAAACAAACCAATAACTTTTATTTGGATTTCTTTTCTAACAGATAAAGTAATTCTAGTGCTGTCTGATGGAGCCGACTTCTTAACCGACAAGCATCCTCTCGATGTGATCCGTGACGAGAATGCCAAGCTCGGAAACCAAATCTACATCATGGTTTACGGTATAGGAAATGGTATGTAACATTATCTTAAGTATCGTACATACTAATTAGGAAACAAATCGATTATGATGGTACTTTTCATGAAGCAAAATGTTGACGATAATTTCCGAGTCATAACGGTTCTTAAAATAGTGCAGCGAGAGGAATTTTGCGGCTGGAATTTTACCTGTAACGTATTATGGACATCTAGGTCCGCATCTAGAAACAAATGTTGCGTCCTTTATAAATGTATTTAAATTTCCCGTATTTCTCAGGATACACCAGATTTAATATTTGAGTATTTAAATAAACGACAATGCTACGAGGAAAGCGAATTGTAATGCTACGAGGAAGGCGTGTTATAATCACGTTTGAGTAAATAATTCTTTCTTTCGTCTTTTGACTCTGATGTATGGGTTTATGAGTAAGTGTACAAGAATGTGGATGTGGATGTTACATTGATGATGATAATAAAGGAAATGATGACGTATTAATATATCTGAGTGTGGATATGGTGATGTATGGGTTTTTATCCTGTCTAATATGTATGTATATTTGGAAAAAAAGAGAAAAAATAGATGGTTTCGTATGAATGACTCGCTGACAAAAGTACGTGATGTGCCTACTTTAAGGCACATTTGTATTTGTTATAAAACAGCAACAGGTGACAATGGCATGCTAAACCCCTTTGTAATTTATCAAAAAGAGATATTTGTTCTCAGTTTGTTTAATATTATCATCTTTTATTGTGATGTAATATTTCTAAGTTTTTACATCAGCAGTGTGATTAATTGTTACCGTATCTGAGACTTGGCCGAATTAAGATTTTATTGCCTGTATCAGCATCCATTGAGAATGAATAATTGACGATGGACGAGAACTTGAACATATGTAAATGTGCGATACTCTTATCTTGTTCAATTTTCTGTTGTTCAATTTAGATATAGCTGACGACGCTAAAGATTTGCTTCGAGACATGTCTTTACAGACGAGAAACAATGAGACAGCGAAAGTAAGTTAATCTGTTTAAACTGACATGTTTTGATATCTTTAAAACACCTATATGTATTCGAATCTTAAAATTGGGTCAATCCATGCCAGGGTCTATTATAAAGCGCTGTGCCAATGAAATGACATGTCAGACACCTTTCGGTCTATTTTACTGTCCCAATAATAGGCCAATCTTGTCTTCTCTTATTAACAGTTGGGAGCATCAAGCAGGGATAATCAGTTGGATAAAACTTCTTAATCCTTGTGTAGGCTTCATTTAATACCAAAACTGAAAAATTGCCAAAGGAAACAGTAAGAAATGTAGGGTGAAAAAGGGGAAAGGACAATGATAACCTGTAATACAGACGTATAAAACAATTGCCTGATATCATAGAATAATCTACAAAACGTCAAGTAATATTTACTCTTTCATGGTCTCTAAATGAAGCTTTCCAACCGTACTGTATGTTTTTATCAATATTTAGGCATGGTGAAAGGGCTTTTGGATGAGTGTAAGTTTTACAATTACTGATTGTAAATATGTAAAACTGATATAAAGACTGTTATTTTGTATGCAATTTGACGTGACCATATAGCCATTTGTTGTTGGCACTATATTGTTATCATCAATTAAGCCTGAGTGGCGCCTACGTTTTTTCTAAAATGATATGGTAATTAAATTGAATTCGCTGTTGTTCTTACGATGTGAACAAAGTAATTGGTTTTCTAAATGCTTTTTGAATAGATTCTACAAAAGACACACAAGTAAAACCATGACGTAGCACATTTCAATGCAGATTTAGAATTAGATATAGACAATGACGTGCATGAATATAACGGTATCAAACAGCTGTTTCGTCCTTTGTTGAATCGCAGTGGTGACTTTATTTTGTCACACATATGAGGCAACCAAGGAAATTAAAAATTGGAAGAAATGTCAAAATATACATTGGAAGGTGGACTAATCTAGTATTTCAAGAAACGATTTATTAACATACGTCAGTCTGATTGAATTGTAATGAAAGAGGATTGCATTCGTATTCATGTCATTTGGGATCCAATTGAATCAACATATATATTATATATCCCATAGATAACACTTTTTAATCTTGTCTATTTTTTCTGATTTCAGGTTGGATTTTTCGAAATAATTGCAGTTGCAGAATCAGTCCGTTCAAAAATGGGAAGCTATTACAGCTTTTTTAAATCGTCAGCCACAGATATTGTCCTTTCTGATCCATTCATTGATACATTTTCTAGCATCGGTAAGTCGTCAGCCACTGTGTCTGATCCTTCTGATCCATTCATTCATATATTTTCTAACATCGGTAAGTCGTCAGCCACAGGGCCTGTTTTCTCTTATCCATTCATACATATATTTTCTAACATCGGTAAGTCGTCAGCCACTGTGTCTGTTCCTTCTGATCCATTCAATCATATATTTTCTAATATCGGTAAGTCGTGAGCCACTGTGTCTGTTCCTTCTGATCCATTCATTCATATATTTTCTAACATCGGTAAGTGGTCATCCACAGTGTCTGTTCCTTCTGATCCATTCATTCATATATTTTCTAACATCGGTAAGTCGTCAGCCACAGGGCCTGTTGTCTCTGATCCATTCATTCATATATTTTCTAACATCGGTAAGTCGTGAGCCACTGTGTCTGTTCCTTCTGATCCATTCATTCATATATTTTCTAACATCGGTAAGTCGTCAGCCACAGTGTCTGTTCCTTCTGATCCATTCATTCATACATATATTTTCTAACATCGGTAAGTCATATCTATATTTCGCCTTCCGTTTTCTTTTGTGACTGACGAATTTCTTCGTGCGAGTCCTTTAAATCGAACCCGGTAAAATGGAAATTCTGTCATGTTTTGATGTCAGGACCGTCTGAACTGTCCCTGCGATTATAACATTTAGCGCTAATTGCCGTCTTGTTACCGCCTACACCTAATTGTTTTTTTTTTTTTTTAAATATTATACTGTTTTGATTAAACTTATAAAGCTAGAACCATCACCCAAACTTTAGAATATGTTGTAATGGTATAGAAGTGCCAACAGAAGCGATCTAGCGATCATGAAGTCGATCATACAGCTCGGCTATTTTTCACGGTCACTATCACTCACTCAAAAAATTGTAGATTGTAAATACAATGAATGAAAAATAATTTGACTTTTTTTTTACTTTAAAGGTCTGTTGATATCCGTTTGTCTGCCAGTTTATGATAAAGTCGAACCCTCAGTCCTACTGGGAGTAGCTTGTGCTGATGTCAAACTCAGCGATTTGTTCGAAGCCGCAACCGTATTTAACGAAGGAGATTCATCATACGTCTTTATCATTGACCACAAAGGGCGTACTCTAAAGCACCCTCTGTTACGACTCTCCAGATCTGTACGAACAAGCTATACACTCCTAGATATTTCATATCTAGAGCGGGCTAACGGAGCAAAAGCTATAATAGACGCAATGAAAAGGAAAGCGATCTTATTTGCGATTTGTGATAATGCCTCGTATCCATACTCATAGGTTCGGTTCACGTAGTCTTAATAAGTTAAATTGTCTCACTGTTATAATGTTTTTGTACAAAAAGAGATGTCTGATTATTAATCCTAAACGAGATTTTCGTTCTTATTTGATTCTTCCTAAACTAAATATAACTATATTCAATGAAGCTTGTATAGTGTACTATAAAAGGCAATGTATTTCATCTGCATGATTTGATATCTATTAAATATCACATAAATGTATTATTTGCTCCAGTAAGAAAAAAATTCAAATAAAAGGCTGTGTTTAATTGTTTAATTGGACAGCTTGAATATATCAATATTCTCAAAATCTTGTTTGTAGGAGGGAAACGGGGAAACAGGATGTGTTGTCGTCAACGAGAACAATGGCTAGAGGTGTGGTATTAATGGAGGGAATCCTCACACGAACCGTCAAGTCTACATATCATTATGCACCGGTAAATACCTGATATAGGAAACAGAAACGTTTACTTTTTCATTTAATCTTGAATGTGTTACTTTGTAGTTCTGGTGTGATTAGTCATACTAATGACATCGAATGAAACCATATGCATTGTGTCAACATAATGACAAGTGAAGTGGCAATGATTAGTAAGACACTTTAACTTATTGTTTCGGAATGGTTTCGGCAAACTACCCTGGTAAGGCAATTATTTACTCATTGATATACTTTTTTTGCGTGCATGTACGTATAAACTCTCATCGAAATATCTACCGGGCGTTGGTCGGTTGCGGTTGTCTGCAGTCTGTAATAAGGTGTATGAATCTAAGCAACCAACCTATAACCAAAATATGTTGACAGAGCTAAAACTAAGATACACTTAACGATCGATGTGTGCAGATGAAAATGAATTCATATTGCAAAAAAATATTGAAGTATGTAAGAATATGAATTAAATGTTAAATCCACGATTTTGAACTTGTGAAGATATAGGACCAGGTTAGGACGACTCTGCTTTCTTTCAAAGTACCATTATGACTAGTTCGATCTCGTTGTTCCGGCTATGTGGAGTGACCAGACTCAATGTCCTGGTAACAAATTGTAGAGCACAGATAACACAATATTGACAGTAAGGGGAAATAGTTGGTTGCGAAAGGCTATATACATAGTAGTGTTTGCATGTCCAGCAACAATGTCTTTGATGAATTAATGTAATTAGAAATGAGACTTTAAACGTCATGAAACGTGCAAAAAATATATTATAATTTCAAACTTAATGGGTTGATGAAATTTGCATTATTTTGGTTTTACTGATTGAATTTCAAGTATAAAATCAAATGTTTGCAAAAAGCAATCTTTTATTACTGACTGATCGAAAACCTGGAGTCAAATATCACCTACAAGAGTTTTTTTTCGATATGCTTTTACACTGAAGATAGATGGAAGATGTTAACGATAGGTGTAAAACTGCTATATAAAGCTGTGATTTTTGTATAAATGTGTTGACATATAAGTGTATATACATATTTCAGATCCCGAACAGTGATTATTCTATTTGTGTAGTTGTTGGCGAAGACGCTACGATCGCTACACTGCCGACCCAGATTAGGGAACCGGGGAAATTTGTTTACCATCGTCGGGACATCTATGATGATCATCTGCGGAGCTGCAAGAATTTCAAAAGATTTGCAACTACCGGTATTGTATTTTATAAACAATCAACCAATTTTTAATTAGCAGCTGCCGAATGAATATCAAGTTGATTATCTGCTTTACATAATGTCTTTAATCATAAAGCACAACTGTTTTGTGCTGAAAATCCTTTGAGCTCCATGCTTGGGTAGAGTATAACACATAACAGATTTATGTTCAATGAAGTTGTTTCTATACTATGCTATATTTAACTTTTTATTGACTTCTTTTGTATTAAATATCTTTTATGTTGTTTAATAAATTGCCCTTTTGTTTGAAGAAATATGAAATGCATCATTCATAACTCTAACTAAAACAACCCTAGCATACTTCGAATTCCACAATTAAGCAAGAATCACAATTCAGTAGAAGTATTCTTGAGTCAAAGGTTTCATGTATTGGAGACAAGTCAGTTTCTTGAATTTGTTCCTTATTGAAATCTGCTAGTTGTTGAGCATCAAATAGATAACGGTAAGCTGTCAATTTACAATACCGTGCGAGTATTCTAGACAAATTTAACCTTGAACCTCAAAATTTGTATTGGTATTTCTCATGAAAGAAAAAGAAAAACAAAAAAGGTGTTGCAAAATACATAACTGCTTGAATGACTTACTTTTAAAACGTTACATGAATTAATGAAATAACTTCAAATTGATCAATTAGTGATAGCGAAACCGTGAAAGATACAATGTACATGAAACACCTAAGAATATGCTTTGTTCTGTTTTAGAACACTCGATCGTTCAGTTTAACGCCGATGCCTTTTTGGATATCAGTAAATATCTATATGAAGAAGAAAATACAAACACCGTAGACAGATATACCAAGTTTTTCAACGGAGACAGCTCCACGGCTAATCCGGGTTTTACGGTAATTGATTGGCGTTTATTACTGATAATGATGCAATATTATCATGGGATGAATAAACATATCTTTAGCTAGTTGTATTTCAGGAATTATTATGCTGCAGTTTGCAGCAAATGACATTAAATTAACTTTAAAATGGGTGAATAATCGGTCACTATTGAAAACCAAAACGAGGCATTTCTACCATGGCACATTGACCGTACCTATTTTTCAATCGTTTTCATGTTTATAAATTTTCTGATAACCTATAACTGTCGGATATCGTATAAACGTATGTTGAGATATTGAGAGTCTATTTGATACAGTATCTTTTACCAAAATTAAACAATTATTTCAATTCGACTGACCTTCGTGGCTAATGGATTTGATACCCTACTTGTTAACTTTGGGAGTTTTGTTCCCGGTTTTGTATTCATTTGACTTTTGTGTTTGAGTTTTTATGAAATCAGTTTGTGAATATCATTAGCTGGTTCTGTTTGATGTAACCGATTATGGTGAAAATAAACGGTATCAATCTACACTCGAAATTAGGACATAAACAGTTTAAACTCATTTACATTCTTTTCTGATCCACAGTCTGAGGTCATCAACTCCGTTATTGTATCTGTTAAAGCGGAGGAAATATGGAAAGCCAAATCTGAGTTAGCATTGATCTTCATTTGGAGATATTACGGAACAAATGATGGTTTCATTCGTGTTTTCCCTGGAATTCAGTTACCTCATCAGTATGATCATCAACTCAGACCTTGGTAAGATTGAGTTTGATCAGTGTTACGTAACACAAACAAAACAAACCGGAAATTTTCATTACAAGAATCAGACCTGTCCGTTATACAATGTCATTGGGTTTTTCTAGCTCTTAAAATGTTCATATTTGGGCTCCGCGAGTGTTATGCTCTGTGACACATTTAACATGCATTTGATTACATTAAAATACTCTATTGAGTTATAAGATGAATATTTTAAAAAGAAGGCAACGAAAAAAAGTTTTTCCCTTTTACACACCTAGATTTGACTAAACATCAACGTACGTCGTGCAACGTATTGTGATCCGACAATTCCATGTAAAACGACCATAATCACTTAATGGGGATTTCCGTTGTTGCTGTTTACCTCAGTTGAGAACGTGACATTACTTACTTGAATTGACCTTGATTTACACCGTCGGTGTCGTCGATGAAGCAGAAGCCGCCTTCTCTTTGAGCACACCTGGTCATATTCCCCTTGTACTTATTCAGGAGTCTCCGTGTAAATTTTTCATTCGGTCCTTTTTTGCCCTAAATGCAATAAATTTGATTTTGTTCCTGTGTTGGTACGTTCTTGATCTTTTAAACACAGATTCCTATTTTTCTATCGCAGGTGGAGGCGGACTAAATCTCAGAGAGGTACTCTGATTATGACAACACCTTACCTCGACGCTTGGGGTGCAGGATTGGTTGTGACTTTATGTCGCTCAATTTACACTGGCAGGTAGGAATTATTAACTTTTCACATTGGTATACTATGCATGGTACTATGAGACACATATCATATATATTATTATGTTATTATATATATTATTACATATTATTTTACAACATTCTTTTATCTCTACATTATCTGAATGATGAAAATTGGTAAAATAAATAGGTTTTTAAACAGGTTATACAATCCCTTCCATGGTTTTTTTTACTTTGAAATGGAAACACATATTCGCGTTATGACATTGGATTTTGCATAAAAAATAATAAAAAAAAAGCATACGCATTCAAAATTGATGATGTTCAACTCTACCTCATTATAATTTGGCAATAGAAATTTTGGAGCCCTCTGTCACTCAGAGCTCTGCTTAGTGATATTGCATATATGTAATCAGTCAATTATGTAATTAATTTTATCAAAACAATGGCATATTGATTATTATTTATAAAAAGAGTGACCAAAATCTTATTCTAAAGACTGGGTATATGATAAAGATTTTAAAAATTGTTCATACTTCACATAACCTTTTTCACATGATACAAGTAAAGAGAAGATGTCAACCCGAATGGGCTACCTTTGTGGTCATTTGATTGTGGTATTTTACTGACATCTCAAGTCTCAGGCACATACGAATCGCATCTCTTACAGTAAAACATTCGGACGATGGAAATTGATTAATGGAAGGTATCAGATGGGGATAATTAAGTACAGATTTGAAAGTTTTATTATCGTAGGAAGTATGAGGACATAAATGTAGCTGTTCATTAAAAAAGAGGGGTGCGCACTTGATATGTATTAAATTTACTGTGTGGTAGGTCTAGGGATAAAAAGAGAACCTTAAACAGGATATAGTGGGACGTTCTAGGTTAAGAGACTAAACAGTAATCTTTAATGTATTACTTTGATTACACAATTCGCTCCTTTTCTCTGTATTGTGCTCTTCTACATCCTCACTTAAACCTGACTGATATATTAGGATGCGAAAACCACATACAATGTTATATTACAGACAAGATGGGTCGCCACACACAGAACTGGATGACGTTGAAGGAGTTATCGGTAGTGACATCGGGTTATCTTATTTGTATCGAATGTTAGCCGAGACGTATCCGGAATGTAGTAACGGTCAAATGTGAGTGGACACTATCAGCTTTCTTTCATTGTTGTTTTGAATTGCACAAGCAAATCAATTTATGCTCATAGATTCGCTTAATTACTTAACATACCACATTAAATTATAAAATTTCGTTTGGAGATTTAAAGAAAACATGTTTCATCACATACTCACGTACATGCAGTTTCCCCTATGAACCTCACTACAAGGACCAAAGGACATAACTATATCTGCGATGCTGACCAATGATTAGCAGTCTTGCGCTGTAATTTTGGGATACAGCAATGATATCGGTCACCAAAATGAAATATTGCTTTTTGAAAAAAAAAAACCTTATCAAGTACCACCAAAGTTGTGCACTTATTTTCTGAAAAGGACCAGAATGAAATACCTTCAAGAAAGAATACTGTAAACACTGGAGTTATAGAGGAGTTATAATAGCGCTATTGGGTGTAATTAATCTGAAAATAGAAATTGAAAATTATAATTACTGGAGTAAAATGCAAACAATCCATGTTATTACAACAGCGAGAAGTTTGCCCTTTTGTATCACGCTTTCAGTATAACGACGAGATTTTGATCCAACGAAAAGAAATTTTTATTGTAATCCAACGTTGTTGTGGAAAATTAACGTATACATATCCAGGTTGTAAATTCACTCCATTAAATCTATTTTATGTAGATGTATGCTGGTTGACAATTCGGGTTTCATTATCATTCATCCCGATTTCGTGGATCCAAATCTTAAAGAAACGGAAAGAGAAAAGGCAGTGGAGAATATTCATATCGTACAGAAGGTATGTTGTGTTTTTACTTTAAACTTTCACTATCAGATATTTTTTGCAGTATTGTCTGACCCGCGTGCTGTTTAGTTTTCTAAATAAATAAAAGAAATCATACTCCAATGCCATTGACAGCTTCTCCTGTTTTGCTATGTGTTATTGTTAATTCAAATAATCTGTCTTAAAAATAAACATCAAAAGTAATTCAACAATACAAAAGATTTGATTATCATCTGACATTTCTGATAGGGAAGCTTTTACAGTATGTTTTAGTGAATGAATTTTAGATTTACGAAAAGCTTGAAGTCATTTATGTCTTTTCAATATGTCGCCTAACATATGTTGATTCTGACGTCACAGTGGCTTGTATTACTTGGACTGATAAACAAAGTAATTAAAGAGTTAAAGAAAAAGTTATGTGTTTGTGCTTGTAATATGACATATAAACAGCTAAAATGGAAAAATCGTACCTTATAGTTTAAGGATATTGAGTGGAATTCATCGTGCCATAAAACTCAGCAGCGAACAGACGTTTATACCAGATGTGTTTTCACAATTGCATTTTGATATTTCATGATCATATGTAAATGAAACAGCTAAATAAAAACATGTCTAAATGAGTATTTATTTTAACATGCTTTGTGCTAAGGTTCGCCGAGTTGTGGCACCAAAATGTACAGAATTTCAGTGTGTGATACATCCTGAACCCTCTAAGGTTGCTTCCAGCTCCTAACTAATAAGAGGCACAGTGAAATTTACTCACGTTTAGAGAATCACGTCCGTATTCGTAAGCAGTTTGAAGTCGAGATAGTGCTTTCATGTCAAGGCTGTTCCATCCAAGGGAGATAACTCCCATAGTTTTCACTACACTATCTATTCGAATACATATAGTCCATAAGCTAAAACATGCTATAATATAATTGTACGACATTTCATAATGAAGTTTCGTGTTCAGTAATAACTCTTTAACGTTGCTGGCCTTGATGATTGGTCTTTTCTCTTTTAATTTACAATTACTTGAGCATTTTGGTTGCATTCATTTGAAAGTTCTTTTGTCTTTAATTTCAGGAAAGTGACATCGCTAGAGATTTAATTAGCAAGTCGGTAATGAGTAAACAAAGCTGTGCGGATTTCGACAATCACAAGTTACAGTTCACATACAGGGTATGTTTTCTAATTTTAGTGTCGTCTTAATGCATTACTCGTTGATTTAATTCATTACAGTATCTGTCCTCCTCAGGTTGATGAATGCAGTAGGGAAGTTTTATGGTCGCTATAGTGATTTCATTGAGAAATAATTTATATCTTGCGATATGAAGCTTAACTTGTCGTATGCTCCTGTCTTTTGTTCGTACTTTGCCCTAATTTTTGTTTGACTGATGACGATATTGACATGTTGCGTTTTTTCTCTTTTTCTGTTAGATACAGTTGAATGATGGCGATGTGCACATCATTGGGTCCGGTTATGAGTTATGGAATGTGAAAAATACGAACGTGTTCTTGATTAGGAAACCAGTTGCAGATGTATCCGTACAGTGTTGCACGGTAACGTTCACTTTATCACGGTATCCATGAATTATATTCAAGTAAAAGTGAATGTCATAATTATCTTACAAAATGTAAGGTTCTTGAACTTAGTTTAGTAGCAAAACATTGGAAGAGCTGAAGTACTAGAAAAAGTGATTTTTCTTACAAAACCGTGAAGTTTTACGTTTTTTGTTAAAGGACATACCAATGGTATCACCGACCAGAAAGAAGTGTTCGGGCACGTTCTGTGAATGTATCTGCCATACACCTATCGCCTTTGACACGTGTTTGAATATAAACAGTAAAACGTATGTTTCTTCAGATAGCGCTGTCTATCAATTACAGCTTAATTCTTAAACACAAATAGAAATGTCAGTAGAAATCAATAAATATAACTAGATAACTTGTTCTTTTAGAAATAATAAGCATCAAGTTATCTACAAATTTACTTTTATATTATTGATTATCAAAACATTTGCAAGTTATAGCTGAATAGAATATCATTTGATCGCCTTTAAGACATCGTACATACAAATAACCTGTCTTTTATGGAGTTGTGACCACGTAAATTCTGTCTCTGTAGACAAAATAATATGTAAAACGTCCGTGCAACAGTTTGTGTTCTTATGTGCTAACCGCGTATGTCAGTGGTTTGCCATCTAAAGTAACTTCCTATGCCCGGTTTATAGACGATCAATGAGACTCACATACATGTCATTCAATTGACATTCATTTATTTCTTCAGTGGAGCCAGCTTGACATGTATTGCCAAGACACCCGATATTACATCGACCGCAAAGCCTGACGACCTGTCTGGACTCGAGGACTGTTATAACCCAATATGCTTCAACAGGACACGTGACTCGTTTGTATTGAATTGTTTTTTTCAATCTTATAACATGTACATTGATTTAGTGTTTTGAGAGCGTTCATAATTAGGGTTCCTCTTTTCCTGTTAATTAAAACAGGGACATTTACAAGAGAAAATGTATTTAGGATATCAATGGTGACCTGAATGTTATTATCACTACTTGCGTGTGTCAAATACACAACATTGAAATATTTAAATAGCTTGAAAGGAAAGAGCGCTACATGACGGCAGACTGATCTGGTTTTGTGTACCCTGAAACATGCACACAGTAAGTGTTTTTTCCCGATCTTGTAGTACTTGTTACTCGGTACCCGGATGTAGTTGGTGTGTCCGTGACGAAAATGCTCCGTTGGCAAACCCATGCTGCAGGGGGATAGATACATGTGATTTCGGAACAGTCCTTGGTGGAAAAAGTGAGTATAGCACTTAAAATATTCATAAATTGATTGTCATAATTTTGAATTGTGCAAATGTATGCTGATTTTCACATTTGCTATATTCACGAAAAACATCGAAGAAGCGGCTATCCCACGTGATAAATTTATGCCGATGACAGTTGAAGCTAGCCCACATGTATGTAAATAAACATATACTTAGTTTTTGTTGAATTGTTTGATACTGCTATATTTATAACACCTAACTAGATATAAAACAGTTACTATGATATGATTAGTTCATGCACCTACTGGAAATTAGGCTGTGGATTTTGCTGACTGTTTTTCACACGAGACCAACAAGTTGTAGAGTAAATGTCCATGAAAACTTGTCTTGCTAGGAAAAACCTATGAAACCAGTAGACACGACATCTGCCAGTCTGCTTTTATAGGACAGAACCTGTGCAATCTAGTATATAGAGATAAATAATGTGTTGATCCATCTTCAGTTGATACCGTCTTAATGTGGCTGCTGGGAGAAGAACGGACACATTTTACTCAGCTATGAATTAAAAACAAGAATGTTTATAACAGAACGGTATCCCTTTTCAAATGTTCTGTGATCTTAGCTCCAACAAGAAAGATTGTATTCCAACGGACAAGCTCTTATTATTCTTATGATAGCTTGTCGCAATAGTTTCGTTCCATTACATGTCACTCCTCTGAGCGCACCTGGCGTGAACGACATGGATGCAGTTCGTCACTTTAGGTCCGTGTCAAATTACAGGCTAGTTATAAATGGTCATTTCCGATCTGGAAAACATAATGATCAACTTTTGCCAGATTTCTTATAATAAAGAAAGATCTTAAGTTTGACCTTCAATATATTGTTCTTCCTTGTGCTCATATTGCGTCTATGGTTAGTAGTAACACCTTAACTATTGTTGCGTGCTCCTCTCTGTCCACAACAGCCCATCCAAAAATGAACCTCGATTTATATGAACCAAAGTAAGGACATCTCTTGTAAATTTAAGTCAGGATCTTCAGCTTTCCTTTCTTTAGCAATTTGTTTATTATTTTCATATTGGCTGCTTTCATTTATCATGGGTTCTGCTAGGGTTTATATATCAAATATCAATATCAAATGTCCAGTTCATTAAACAAGATACAATATATATCTGTCTCACAAAATCTTATGTCTGCAGGTAATGTGTGTCCCGACCTGATTTTGCCACCAACTACTCCCGTGACCAGTTCTCCAGGGACCCAAGAGACGACTGTTGCTTCACCGTCTGGCAGTGGAGACGTTAGTGTAACAGTAGTGGTGGGGGCGATCTTAGGATCACTTGTAGTTATTCTTTTAATTGTCATTATCGGCATGTCGTATCGTCGTCATATAGGTCGTCGCAAAGACAACCCTGCAGATGATTACTTAACAGCCCTTCCATCTGTGCGAGATGCTTCCACGGAAGGAGGGGTCGTAAATCAGCAATACGCTGGAATGAATGTACCGTTTGGGGTCGCTCAAAATCATGGCGGTGGACCGAATTTGACGCCAATGCATCACAATGCGAATCCCAATAAGTATAATACAATGCCTGGATCGTCCAGTTCATCAGGTTCAAGCGGTACACCTCAAACAGCGAGCCACGGCCATATGCCTCTAAACGCAATCCCGAGCGATCCAAAATTGTAAAGGTCTATTAATCTACCAGAGACCTTGATCAAAACATTCTATCAAATAGCCATTGCTTTACATTAACAGACATTGAATGTGATTATAAAGTCAGAACTTGGTGATATTACAAGGTACATTAATGATATTACAAGGTACATTGTTCTTGGTGATATTACAAGGTACATTGTTCTTGGTGATATTACAAGGTACATTGCTCTTGGTGATATTACAAGGTACATTGTTCTTGGTGATGTTACAAGGTACATTGTTCTTGGTGATGTTACAAGGTACATTGCTCTTGGTGATATTACAAGGTACATTGGTGATATTACAAGGTACATTGGTGATATTACAAGGTACATTGGTGATATTACATGGTACATTGTTCTTGGTGATATTACAAGGTACGACGTTCTTGGTGATATTACAAGGTACATTGGTGATATTACAAGGTACGACGTTCTTGGTGATGTTACAATGTACATTGTTCTTGGTGATATTACAAGGTTGATCTTACTCCATACTTCACAAGAGTTTCGATTGAACTATGTTTCGAGGGTAAAAAACGTTATGCCACTGGGATCAACGTTAATAAAAAAAACATCTATAGCAAATAAGTCTGAACAATGTCATTCCAGCTTGTCCTCTTCAATGTCGAATCGATGCATTCCTAAACTTTGTTTTAATATGAATGTTAACTTGTTTACTTTCTAACTTTTTACTATCATATACCATTGATTTACCTTGGTTCAATATGAATGTTTACTTCATTTATATTTTCAACATAAAGCCGATATCATTCAAATACGTTTACTGTCAATAATCATTAGTGGTAAATATACTGTCAATCATCATCAGTGGTATGTTTACTGTCAATCATCATCAGTGGTATGTTTACTGTTTACTGTCAATCATCATCAGTGGTATGTTTACTGTTTACTGTCAATCATCATCAGTGGTATGTTTACTGTCAATCATCATCAGTGGTATGTTTACTGTCAATCATCATCAGTGATATGTTTACTGTCAATCATCATCAGTGGTATGTTTACTGTCAATCATCATCAGTGGTATGTTTACTGTTTACTGTCAATCATCATCAGTGGTATGTTTACTGTTTACTGTCAATCATCATCAGTGGTATGTTTACTGTCAATCATCATCAGTGGTATGTTTACTGTCAATCATCATCAGTGATATGTTTACTGTTTACTGTCAATCATCATTAGTGGTATGTTTACTGTTTACTGTCAATCATCATCAGTGGTATGTTTACTGTTTACTGTCAATCATCATCAGTGGTATGTTTACTGTCAATCATCATCAGTGGTATGTTTACTGTCAATCATCATCAGTGATATGTTTACTGTCAATCATCATCAGTGATATGTTTACTGTCAATCATCATCAGTGGTATGTTTACTGTCAATCATCATCAGTGGTATGTTTACTGTCAATCATCATCAGTGGTATGTTTACTGTCAATCATCATCAGTGGTATGTTTACTGTCAATCATCATCAGTGATATGTTTACTGTCAATCATCATCAGTGGTATATGTTTACTGTCAATCATCATCAGTGGTATGTTTACTGTTTACTGTCAATTATCATCAGTGGTATGTTTACTGTCAATCATCATTAGTGGTATGTTTACTGTCAATCATCATCAGTGGTATGTTTACTGTTTACTGTCAATCATCATCAGTGGTATGTTTACTGTCAATCATCATTAGTGGTATGTTTACTGTCAATCATCATCAGTGGTATGTTTACTGTTTACTGTCAATTATCATCAGTGGTATGTTTACTGTCAATCATCATTAGTGGTATGTTTACTGTCAATCATCATCAGTGGTATGTTTACTGTTTACTGTCAATCATCATCAGTGGTATGTTTACTGTTTACTGTCAATCATCATCAGTGGTATGTTTACTGTCAATCATCATCAGTGGTATGTTTACTGTCAATCATCATCAGTGATATGTTTACTGTTTACTGTCAATCATCATCAGTGATATGTTTACTGTCAATCATCATTAGTGGTATGTTTACTGTCAATCATCATTAGTGGTATGTTTACTGTTTACTGTCAATCATCATCAGTGGTATGTTTACTGTTTACTGTCAATCATCATCAGTGGTATGTTTACTGTCAATCATCATTAGTGGTATGTTTACTGTCAATCATCATCAGTGGTATGTTTACTGTCAATCATCATCAGTGGTATGCTTACTGTCAACCATCATTAGTGGTATGTTTACTGTTTACTGTCAATCATCATCAGTGATATGTTTACTGTCAATCATCATCAGTGATATGTTTACTGTTTACTGTCAATCATCATCAGTGGTATGTTTACTGTCAATCATCATCAGTGATATGTTTACTGTTTACTGTCAATCATCATCAGTGGTATGTTTACTGTCAATCATCATCAGTGGTATGCTTACTGTCAATCATCATTAGTGGTATGTTTACTGTTTACTGTCAATCATCATCAGTGATATGTTTACTGTCAATCATCATTAGTGGTATGTTTACTGTCAATCATCATTAGTGGTATGTTTACTGTCAATCATCATTAGTGGTATGTTTACTGTCAATCATCATCAGTGGTATGTTTACTGTTTACTGTCAATCATCATCAGTGGTATGTTTACTGTTTACTGTCAATCATTATTAGTGGTATGTTTACTGTCAATCATCATCAGTGATATGTTTACTGTCAATCATCATTAGTGGTATGTTTACTGTCCATCATCATCAGTGGTATGTTTACTGTTTACTGTCAATCATCATTAGTGGTATGTTTACTGTTTACTGTCAATCATCATTAGTGGTATGTTTACTGTTTACTGTCAATCATCATTAGTGGTATGTTTACTGTCAATCATCATCAGTGGTATGTTTACTGTCAATCATCATCAGTGATATGTTTACTGTCAATCATCATCAGTGGTATGTTTACTGTTTACTGTCAATCATCATCAGTGGTATGTTTACTGTATGTGTTTTCTGCAGATCATTATTAATGTCTATTTACTGTTTTCTGATGTTGGTTTCTTCAGTCATTGTTGATAGTATTATTACTGTATACTAATATTAATTGTGACTTACTAGAAATGATATTAATGTTACTTTTACATTGATCTTATAACACTTAGTAGTGAAACGTGTATGTTATACGATGATATTCGATTATCGTAGTCGATAACCATTTGATAATTTCAAACAGGATTTAATTTACATTTATAAATATTGATTATCATGTTTTTGTCTAACATTCTCGGAAACTTGCCTTAACTTATATTGATTAATAATGATAATTATGTTATTTCTATATTTATCATGATTTTGTCTAACATTCTCGGAAACTTGCCTTTATACATTTGGTCTTTCAAAATTTATTTTTGGTGACGATTTGCTTTTCGGAGCACAAGAAATATTGAAGGTAAAAACAACCTGATTTATTACAAAAGGACATCTATGCATTTTATCTCCACGAACCAATTGGTGTAGAAATATTAGGCACTAGGGTTCTCATTAGTGTGCAAAGCGATCGCCCTGAAACACAACAAACGGTGTGACTAACATTTATAGAATGATGACGTCATTCTGATGACATCGTCTTGTAACAATGAATCAAAATACATTACAGATCTCAGGAATACAGTGCTGGATTATGTTCACGTGTAGGTATATAACGTATACCAAAACGTGCACATGTATTGTTCTTTTCCTTTACTTTATGTCAGAGAGATATGTGATGGCAGGATATTTTAAAAATCTTGTAAATAATTAATTATACTGCTATAATTCCAATTTGTTTGCTTCTTTTTTTGTTTTTGTTTTTCGGATTTAATCGCTTAGTGTGTTTAGTTGATGTTCAAAATGAAGTATAACGTTATTGTATTTATACACACACACACATATATATAGGTTATTTTGTATGTAAATATGTTTATGTACAATTTATTTAATCAACATTCCTTTAAGGATAAACGTATGCAGCGAACACAGCACCATGAATGAGGTGTATGTTTAAACAATATTATTTTGTCATCGTTGCCTTAGTAACAAGTTTTGCTCATATTTTGTATTCTCTTTTTTAACAAGTCGTTGTGAATAGAATGATATTTTCCAAAGTGATTGAAATCCTACAGTTTAAGCTTTGTACTCATTTCATACCCTTTAAACATGAGGAAAACCATTAAAATATGCTTTCTCATCATTGTTTTATTTTGTCAAGTGTTATTAGAAAGATTCCCCAAAATATAATGAAATGCACATGCGCCACAACAAATATCAACATATTGTTAAGATTCTGACAAAAAAAAAAAAAAAAAAAACTTTGCTCCTCTGTTTCTTCGACAAATGATGTTGAATAAGAACTATCCTTAATATTTCCGTGAATTACATGCATTCTTTGTTATTTTGGGAGCAGTCTCTTTTTTCGACAAATAATCTCGTATTAATATGTTGCAAAATGACACTGAGTTAATATAAATGAATAGGCTAATAACTGCAAATCGAACAAAAAGTCCAATATTTGAAATCATCTGAAATATATTTCAAGCTCTCAGAGCATATAGTCGCCGCCTTGTCCATCCATCCGTTCATCCGTCTGTCCTTTCTTGCCTACAGCATAACTTTGCCCATAGACAAGCAAATATCATGAAACTTGGTGTATACATTGGTCATACTCATGGGATGTGCACTGTACTAGGAGTTCTCGGAACTTTGATTACAGAGTTATTGACCTTTGCTAAAATGTCGTTTCCTGAATATAACTTTGGTTGCATTCGGATACACTATTGATCACACAAAGACGATGTGCAGTGGCGCAAATTCAGGGCCTGCAAACCCTTAATTACAGAGTTAAAGCCCTTTGTTAAAAAAAATTCTAATTGTTTGTATTTGAATAAAGATAATGAAACTTAGTGGATACATTGATCATACTCAGACAATTTGCAGAATACCAAATGTAGGGCCCTTGACCCCTCAATTAGAGTCCGGAGCGAAACTCAAGCAATGACCATGAACCTTCGCGGAAACTTTGATCATCCTAAAGAGATGTGTATTGTATCAAAGTCAGGGCTCTTGACCTCTCAATATTATATAGTTATTGTCCTTTGTTTAAAATATCATGTCCTGAGCATAACGTTGCATGCATTTAAATAAGGATAATGAAACGTCTTGTAAAAAAATGACCATACAAAGATAATATGCGTTGTACCATGGTTATTGCAACGACCTTTTAATCACATCGTAATTGCCCTGTTGAAATTTCCAACATGCATTAAAATTAGGATTTTTGAAACGTGACCTGTACATCAGTCATACAAAAGCAATGTGCAGTGTAGCGAAGTCAGGGCCCACGACCCCTTAGTACAGGGTTATTTCCCTTTGTTAAAAGTTTTTGTCATAATCATTGCATTAAAACTAGGATCATATTTTTTTGTGTATATCCTTGTCATAAAAAGAGGAAGTGCAGTGTACCAAATCCAGGGCCTGCAACCCCTTAATCACAGAATTGGCGCCATTTGTTGAAATTTTGTGTCTAAAAAAAGTCGTTTTCTGGAGCATGGATCAATTTCACTGATACTCTTGTTTTTGTTTTGATATAGAAATATAACTGAAGATTTCGACGACTAAAATCAGAGGGTCGCTGTGTTTCATTTCGCAGTTTTCACACAAAATTCCATTTTTTCCGAGATCCTGAAAACAAGATATATTGTTGGGTTCTTAAAATTTATCAACGAAATCCATCCAGTAAGAATTAATGTGTTTCAAATATGTAATTCGTAATGAAAGAAATACACAAAGTTAGTATCATAGAAACAAGAATAATAACACGCTATCAACGAAATCGCAACGTCAACTACATTACTACCATTTCATAAAATCTGTTTCACAAGCAAAGAATCTACAATACGTCATATTAACAATCTTATGTATTAATTTAAAGTTTAGATAGCAAAGCATAATATCATAAAGTTCTCAGATACAAAGTTGGAATTTGGTATGAATTCGTCAAAATACAAATACTAGAGCTTACAATGTGATTAGATTTACAATAGGAAAACAATTAAATGTCTTTTATACTCTGAGATAGCCATATTGTTCCAAATATCGTTAGGGGAAAACCTCTCAAAAATTCTATTTTTTTCCTACAAAGTAAAATGCTTACACTTGCAAAGTCAGTTTTAGCTCAAAAATATATAATGAGATAGTACTTCACTAGATGTGTACACAAGAATATTGATCGAAGAAATGAATTGATCTGTGTGACGAAACAGTCATATGAAACGACCAAATGAACCTTTAGGATAAAAAAGTTTTCAAAGTAAATTATACGTGATTTTTTATTATAAACACATTTATGTATCTGCACACTACGACAAGAAACGACACGACAATGAATATGAATGAAGAAATTCACCCTTACAGAGAGGGTGACTTTGTATTTATTTATGAAATTAAAAACATATCTTACAGTTACATAAACCATAAAATGAACAAAAACCATTTTTTGCAGTAGTTATAATGAAAAGCCAATGTTGGGTTTACTAAAAAAAAAAAAAAAAAACCGCCACAAAGACATGACAAATGTCTTCCCCACAAAGGCTATATAATTGCGAATATAGACAAAATACAGTACGCATCAGGTGTCCGGGTAGTTCAGTGGAATCACGTGTGCCAATCATGTGTGCCTTTCACCTAGTAGTCTGGGGGACGATTCTCTGAAGGGGCGTGAAAAAAGTGTGTAGTCATCACATGGATTTTCCCCGGTTATTTCGGTTTCCTCTTACGGTGTAACCCTCTTCAAGCTTCCATGCGGGCCAACAGGAGTGATTAACGTAAGTTGGAATAACTTGTTTTTCCTTTGTTTTAGATAAATAAGATTAAAGTAGATACTTGTGACAGTTTACCTTCCCGAATCTTCACTATCGCATTTCTCCGTGCTGTGCAATAGTTAACGGCGTGAAACGCTCATATATGTCCTCCGGTATAGGCATACAGTTCGAAAGATATAGATATAAATGGTTAGTCAAAAGCACGCCACTATTGAAACTCCAAAAAATATCTCACATCGACTTTTGATAATGAAGCGGGCCATAGGATGTGCACATTACAAAATAAGTTTGTTAAAAAGTATGAAAAGATATTGACAGACATCAACATTCAAAATGTTAATTTCTTACAAATATTTTCTGCTATGCTGGTATACAGTAAATGGATCAATGGAAAGTGTTTTCTGACCGTGACAGTTACATAATTAAACTATACATACTGGTATTACAAGTTGTAATAATTCTATTAAAAAAAAGACACCAGTGTAAGGTAACACCTTTGCTTTATATAGTGATCAGGAATACAGCGGTAGGAAACAATAGACTTTTATAATATTGGTGATAAGACAGTATTGAATTTAGTGAAAAAGCTTCATACGAAATGACGTAGCATAAAGCTTGTTACTACTCTAAAACCGTTTCTGAATCATCCTTCTTTGTAACAGGTGATACCGACGCTTTCGACAAGGCCCTTTTCTGCTTTTTGAGGAGAATTCGCTCTCTGTCCTTATTCCGGGAGTGTAAGTCGCTGAAGTTCGATGCAACGACAGCTATCGGCATTGACAAGAGTAGAATGCCACACATCGCACAGCAAACACCTACAGCACGCCCGAGAATAGTCTTGGGGTAATGGTCTCCATAACCTACAGTTGTCATGGTGATAATCGCCCACCAGATTGCCACTAACATATCCTGGAAAGTAGTCGCTTCTGCAAATTCGGCATAATACACAAATCCAGCAAATACTGTTACCAACATAAAGAACACTGCAACTAATAGCACTAGTTCCTTAAGGCTGGACCGCAGAGTGATGAAAAGGATTCTTAAAGCACTGAATTGTCTCACAAGTCTAAATAACCGAAAGAGTCTGCATATGATAAACGATTTTAGGATAAGATATATTATAACACCTGCCGTACTAGCAAGAACAGCTTTTAAATTCATCTCCAGGCCAAATACAGTCAACATTACAACAACGATAACAGTGTCCAATACGTTCATCCAGCTTCCGAAAAAACGATTTTTGTTTGGAGAGGAGAGGAAGTGAAGGACAAGTTCGATTGTGAAAAAGAACATACACGCTCGTTCTATGTAAAGAAGTGCTGGATAAATTACTGTTAACGACGTCATCACGTCCTTCGGGTTGTTCCAGTCGATCTCAGACATTATATACCATAAGGTCTCGTTGTCAAATACACTGAGGTCTATATCGACACGGAAAGTTGGCACTGATCCAAACACAAATATCAAAATGGAAACTATCACCACGAAGAAATATAGGACGTTGAACATCTGAAATAACATCACAGAAAACAGTATTATTTTTTGTATCATACACCAAACCAATACTAAACACAGAATTACAGATACTAAACACAGAATTACAGATACTTAACACTGGATTACAGATACTAAACACAGAATTACAGATACTTAACACTGAATTACAGATACTTAACACTGAATTACAGATACTAAACACAGAATTACAGGTACTTAATATATAATTATACTTAATACAGAATTACAGAACTGAATACAGAATTACAGATACTTAATACAGAATTACAGAAACTTAATACAGAATTACAGATACTTAATACAGAATTACAGATACTAAACACAGAAATACAGATACTTCACACAGAATTACAGATACTTAATACATAATTACACATACTAAACACAGAAATTCTACAAACCAAACTACCACACACAGAATTACAGTTTTATTTCTACAAACTTAACCAATACTACACTCATAATTAATTTTATTTCTACAAACTTCATTAATGCTACACAAATAATAACATTTTTATTTCTACAAATTGTTATTTTCGTATATAAAATTAAACAGAATCAGACGAGCCTTTCCCAACAAGTATATCATAAATTCATCATATCTATATATGTATACTGTACATCACCTCAGTCAAATACGACTATTTATACAATGTAGTATACATCTTTATTTGGGAACTTTATACCGTATCTACACTACCTATCACTTTGTTCACCGATATAACAGTTCAGATGGAATCAGATTTGTTAACTGGCCATAGAAGCAATGATCCTGTATGTCACGTTTTAATTTAATTGAATCACAGAATAGTTTGGAATATAAAGATGTATCAGACATTGTTCTGAAATAATCGGACACGTGACACTCACAAAATTTATTGCATTTTTCGGGCTAGAGCGCCTCATCATACAGATTTTGTCTTTATTTTTGATCAAGTTTAATTTTTCCTTGTTAGCCCTTAATATCACTGACGAGTCCTATAAGGATGAAACAGTTGTGTGATGTAGCATCACTGATGAGTCCTAGAAGGGCGAAACAGTTGTATGATGCAGCATCACTGACGGGTCCTATCAGGACGAAACACCTGTATGTTGCAGCATCACTGACGAGTCCTATCAGGACGAAACTGCTGTATGATGCAGTATCATTTAAAAGACCTAGAAGGACGAAACTGCTGTATGATGCAGCATCATTGACGAGTCCTAGAAGGACGAAAAAGCTGTATGATGTAGCATCACTAATGAGTCTTAGAAGGACGAAATAGCTGTATGATGTAGCATCACTGACGAGTCCTAGAAGGACGAACCAGCTGTATGATGTAGCATCACTGACGAGACCTAGGACGGCACAGCTGTATGATGTAGCATCAATGACGCGTCCCAGGGGGACGAAACAGATGTATGATGTAGCATCACTGACGAGTCCTATAAGGACGAAACACCTGTATGTTGCAGCATCACTGACGAGTCCTATCAGGACGAAACTGCTGTATGATGCAGTATCATTTACAAGTCCTAGAAGGACGAAACAGTTGTATGTTGCAGCATCACTGACGAGTCCTATCAGGACGAAACTGCTGTATGATGCAGTATCATTTACAAGTCTTAGAAGGACGAAACAGTTGTATGATGCAGCATCACTGACGTGTCCTAGTAGGACGAAACTGCTGTATGATGCAGTATCATTTACAAGTCCTAGAAGGACGAAACAGCTCTATGATACAGTGTTATGAATTGTTTGGCTCTACTTTATCTTGTTCTAAATTTGTATCAAAGAGAACTGTTCACTTGTGTGTATTTGTACAAATACGGTATTTTATATATTTTTTTTAAAAATGTATGCTAGAAACCATTACAAAAATACCCTAAAATCTCGAAAATAGGCGCGTTTTATTTTTCTATAATAATCAGCGAATGTAGGGTTATTCATGCAAGCAACTACTCGTTTGGTCGATTTGATTAAATCCAGTGAGTAAACTAATTAAGCTCTGAAAAACAATTTCATCGTCGGGTAGAGAAAACGGTGTATCATGATTTACCTGTGTTTCAATTTAATTAAATCGTTATTTATTAAGTACCTACTGGGAAGAGGCGACATATTGTTACCGCTATGATCATCATTAAAACACGTAGGAGACATTTTAAATGAACCGAACATTGTTCAATAGATTGTACAAGTAATGTCAACTGTCTCGGTAAATAACTTTTCCAGACTAGCAATGTTAGAGTATCGGTTTCCGCGTTCCCTGAAGATCTTCGTTATAAGAAACTGCCGTTTTTTTTAAAAAGATAATTGCTGGATCAAATTGGCACTGTATATCAAAACAGATACACATGAATATCGATAGGGTTCACATTTATAGTCCTATGCTATATTAAAGTATCTGTGGAATAAAATCAACATATATATTTATATTTAATATTTCTTCTGCTTGTAAACCATGTACTCATGCTAAATGCATTGAAGTGATAATAATACTTATCAATAATAATAATATTTGATTAAGAATCGTTAAAACACGTTAATTTTACCTTGGCTAAAAAGGAAGACTTGGGCTGGTCCAGAAGTAACCATATTGCTCGTTTGAAACACACAAAACTACTGGCTGCGCGCTGATCGTCCGTATAATCGTAGTCCTGGGTAGCTAGTGAGGTTTCTAGTGTGTTCAGCGTGTCCCTGTCATTGTCATACTTATAGTAGACTTGTAGACAACATTCGGATAGATCCTCTTCATGTATCTCCCAGAACGACAACTCGTGTCGAAAGCTTGCACCACAGTAGCAACTTGGCAAATGTAGCTCTCCTGTTCTGTAAAAGTCTAAAAGTGAATTGAAGAAATCTGGATTTCTGTCAAAGAAAAACTGTTTTGTATCCTGACAGTACTCCTCTGAGCTTTCCGACAACTTTCCTAGGCGTGTTTCTGGTTTTGAATGCAATGTGGCATAAGTGGTCTCAAAAACGGTGCCGCCCACATTTAAAATCACCCTCTCCATGTCACCAGCTTACCATCCACCTGTAATACAAACTTGACTTTTGAATATTCCATTTGAACTCTACCCAAATATAATCTCATCCATTATATATACACTATCGATCTTTAGGCGATATCAATATCACTATATAGACATACATACACATTTAAACATACATCGGAAGATCAATAACTTGCAGGTAACAGAAACTCAAATGCAGAACGAATATTGATGTTTACTTGTTTACAAGCCTGAAGCTTTAACCAATGAATATTTATAAAACTGCAAGTGGTTACGACTTAACCGTCTCTCAAATATGGGATTTGATATTAAATAGCGGACAATTTTTAATGTCGATTAATTGCTTGTGAAAATCATATATATATTGATAATCCAAATACCTGGATCGCAACAGGTTTGAGGTTTGGTTCGATACTTGTCGGCGAATATGTAGTAAAAATTCAATGTTCCCCATACCTGCCCACATTGTTGTCCCATAATATTTCCAATACAGAAACACGAATGTCATTTCACTTCAAAGCCATTATTCCTAGACTTTCAATTACGAACAAACGCTGTAGAAGATGAAAATCGATTTTGAACTACTTTGATGCCGTCTCGTTTCTTATAAGCTATTGTCCAGCTGGGGACATAGTGATTGCCGAATTAAGCGTTAGAAACGTCAACCATTTCAGTCTCTGGTAGATTGCAATTTAATGTTATATTAATCATCACCACAAAAGCGTCAAGAAAATACCAACATGTCAATATAATCATAATCCAAAACCAAATGCCGTATAACTAGGGAATAAATGAATAAAAGAAAGAAAGATTCTGCTTCATCGACGACACATACCACGCAAAACTTAATACAATATACAACAGCTGAATAACCAGGCAAATTAAGAAGCATTAAACACGTCATGCTTCATATAGAAAAGAAATAGAAAATTTCTGTATGAGAAATACATTTCTTAAACTCGTGATGTTTTGGACCCAGGCACAAAGACAAAGTGGGAACAGTTTGCTGCCGAAGACATGGTCTGGAAACAACGAACACACAACAGTGGAAATCAGTAGACCATAGAGAGCAAAGGGGACTGGTGCAGAGTGAGATCAGAGTTCAGAAAGAGGAGGAAAGGCGGGGGAAATCTGTGGAGATGGCCTGCCATGGCGCGTGGATAAGACGGGACACAAAGGAGAGGCGATTAACTTGGAAGGACATCTGGCGATACCTATCTTTTCACGTGCAGTTCCTTCTGAGGTCAGTCTATGACGTCTTACCATCATCGGCAAATCTCCACAAATGGAGCTGTGCTGACAAGCTGTCAGGCGGCACTAACTCAGGACCGATACACGTATTAGTCGAGTGCCGGGATGCCATCGGAAAGGTGGATTATAAAAAATGTTAGACAAATGGACAATGGAAGTTGAAATGAATGGCATATGGTCTTTCCTTCTCATTGTCCAGATAGCTCTCAGACTAGACACAGTAATGTGGTCCAAGGAGAGGACGACTGGTAGAGCTGATTGTAACTTGGGAGAAGAGGAGTGGAAAAGCCAATGAGGGGGAAACGTGCCAAGCACGAAGACCTGTTGACAGAGTGTAGGGAGCATGGATGGCATAAATGGAACGTCCCTGTGGATGACGTTGGGTGCAGGGGGTTTCCCTGCACAATCAGTATGGTGAATGTTCATCACCCTAAGAGGTAAGGGAAGGAGAGGAAAGGAACAGTACATAGATTGAACGTGCCTCCAGATGAATGTGGATGAAGAGAAAGGATAGTGACTGACCGCTACTTTGGACACACTATCCAGATAGTGTTTCTAGTTAGGGGTTGAAACATTCAGAGAAGGACGGACTCGGCTGACGACTCCAATGGACCGGCAGTGCCAACTACTACTAATGGCATCTGAAATGGAATTCAGCAAATAAACAAACATGTGAAAATTAATTATTTTCTGTAGCAAATATGTTGACGCCTGAACCAATTAACACATTACTTTATTGCTTGTAAATAACATTCTAAAATCTAACCTTTCATCCAATAATGTTATCCATATTTGCGGATTCTTTAACATTTCCTTCTTACAAAACGGACCAGGCTTGCTACAGGACGATGGAAATTCTATCTACATGTTATTCAGCATTTCTAAACAAGATATACTGGCAAATATTTCTTCAGTATAACAATACTATACGTTGCCTATTAGTGGTACAGATATGGGCCTCCTCGTTTATATAGAATTCCTAGATTTTATACGACTTCATATTATTAACGTTTTACTGATGGTTTGTCTTGTTGTTCATCTTGTATAAGCCTCTTACTACAAGTTTTAAACTATTAGTAAACATATGTTGGACTGGTTGTTTGCAGCAAATGAGACAAAGGTAATGAATGATGTGTTCATGACTTATTTATTGATGCACTGAATTGACTTCATTTACTGACTTTGCCAATACTGTTTCCCTTTCATCGAGCCAGGAGTCCTCGAGTCCTTTGAATTATACAAAAAAGTATTCTCGTATACAATCGGTTATTATTTACACTTACATACACATCCTAAACTGACTTTATAGCATCTAAATCTAAGCATATCTGCATTAGATCCTACGATAGAGAAGCGCATGTAGCCTGTCCTGTTCTCAGCAATTATATATTCATATGCGCAGCCCATCATGTGGACAGCGAGTCTATTAGGTTGCCGTAAATGGATCTGAACAGCTATCGTTTGGAATATGTTCCTTTCAGTATCATTAATCTTTAATGACGGTTCGATCAGTAGGAATATGAGAATGAAATGACGTCTGGTTTTTCAGAAATCAGATATACACCTGGGCATCAAATCAAATTGAAGCATAATATTTCATCGTACGTTGTTGCAAATATTAACAAAGCACGAACATCAATTGTCATCATGGTTTTGTTAATGTTTGTAATATGTCCTTGCAATTGATTTCTATGAGATTAGAATAACTTCGGACAAAGTTTTGGTTTTAGTTGCCATGTCAAATTTTGTCATATTAATTCTACCTGAATTATTACATGGATTAAGTAAATGTTTTAAAAAAAAGACCATCTTAAATGATTTTGGGTACAATCAAATCATCATTTTGATGTTATCAGATCTACAGAGTTCACTGAGTCAAAATGAATTAGCTTCGTCCTATTGGTATTTGATGTAGACATGCTTTGCTCAGAAGATATATGGTAATGTGTTACCTTTGTCCTTCTGGGTATTATAATTGAACATATATACCAGTTTAAACCAAGCTATCGGGATACTTCATCGCACAATATCAGGTGTATAATGATGACAAAAATACTTTTAAGATTTGATGATATATTATGTATGTTTCTGGATGAACAAATACCCAATGAGGTTCATTTCAGATTCAGTCCAGAAATTCTCATTTAATTTCTGAAAATCATCCTTCGGATAAATTGATTCTGTTGATGGAATTGTTGTAACCATTTGTACAGCGATCGGAACTGAAATATGCAAACTGTGTAATATCTCAATCATAAAACTGAAATCGTTATATCGTAGAGAGTTACACCAGATAGTGAATTAAGTTGCCTAAACAAAAGTCAAAATTAGGCGGCAGGTTGTTGAATATATGCTAACATGCTTAATATTGGTCAAACGGGAAAAGCACAAGGTGAAAGAGTTCGTATTAAAATAGCAAATACATAAAATTACTTCAAATTCCAGTTTTCTTTAACATGATCAGTGTAAAAACCTTATCACAGAGACATGCATAAGCAGAGAAAATGTTCGTGAATATGATTGGTGCATACAACACACTGTTCTAAACTCGTCTTTCTGATGGTAAACGGACCAGAAAGATATATTGCTTCAGCATGGCCTTGTATGAAGTTGTATGAATGTTTATAAAATCTTTGAAATTCCCATTAGTACATATGTGGAAAGAAAAGAGTTTCGTTTTAAGCTAAAGATGTATAAAGGACTGAATAAGAAAGGGTTGTTTGAACACTGTTCTATATGTCACTTTGGTTTGATGTATAACTTTTATCTCAAACATACATTTTAATGATTAATTTTATGACGAGTTAAAGAGCATATTATAACAGCAAATTTTGAAATCAGAAGAAAGCATTTGCAGACAGTGACACCATAAAGGTATAAAGGTAGGACATCCACTGTCGAAATATGTCATTAAGGAAAGTGAACGTCCAACACGTATCTGAGATAGACTTGGTTTGAAAATGTAATTAGCTCTAACGTGAATTACTTTAAAATTCATACACAAATGATCATGCACTCGAGGACTCCTGGTTCGATAAACGAGAAACAGCATTGTCACAATCAGTAAGTGAAGTCAATTACAAAAAGTGCAGCAATGAATAAGTCATGACCACATATTGCAATATGATTCGACAGCACGTAGACCGTCAATGTTGTTCTAATGAATTATAGTCATATTGTTTGACTCGTGATTGTACTGTAGCTTCAAAGTCAGTGAACGGTAAATCGCCCCTGGATATCCCAGAAATATTGTCAGTTTTCTTGTATTGATGCATGGTGCTTTTGTCAAATATATTTCATAATATTAGCTTGATTTCTTTAAAACAACAACGTTTCTAATGTTATTCATTTTCAGTGTTGCCCCTAACTAATGGTTTTATACATAAATCAATAAACTGGGACGGATAATTTATCGATCAATCAATTCTAATTCTGCTTTTTAATTCAGTATTAGAAGTTCTATATTATGTCCATGGTTATGCTATTTTGTATTGTTCAGCTTTTCAAAAAACAGTAGGAGATACATGAATATACATGCTTCCATTGACACTTTGGGAAACAGAGTTTACAAAAGCAATTCTGTGTGCAATTACAAAAGAACAATAAATGTGAAATTTTGCTGGAAATTTGGATGATGTTATAGAATATTTGGTTTTTATTTTGTAAAGTTAGCTTCCATAATTTACTATTCTGGCGCTGAAGCCCCTCGTGATCTACTTTTACTTCTGTCAGGCTAATTAATCTAATTA